TATATATATATATATAAAGTGAACTTTTCTCCCTCGCAATACACAGAAGAAATTTGAATAAAGTATGTCCCTAATGCTTTTCCTGATAACGGAAAAATTCCTACGTGAAAATGGCTTTGTTGATCTTTCTTTTACACTTTAAAGTTAAAACAAGAACTTTATCTGTTAGAATTTTAGTGTAAACATGCTTTAGAAGAAAATTCATATTAAACTGGAATGTGAATAATTAAATAACTTTAAAAGTTAAATCAACAAAAGTTATTAGCAAACAACTAAAATTTCATTAATTTTTCATGAAACTCAAAGGTAAACTTTCATTTTCTGTTAGGATTAATTACGTAGCCGTATCTTTTGAAATGTTAATTGGTCAGTATCGCTAGCTTACTTTCAAGCATAATTTTTAATTCATTTGAAAAAATAGAATTGCTTTTAAAATTTATTATGAAACTAAACACTGATTAACTACTTCCATGTTGACTTTTAAACTGATATTAGCAATGCAGAATAAAACATTGCAGTTAACGTTTTAGATAAGTAAAGCAAATGTTGAAATAAATGTTTGTATAAAGTTTCGTAAATTTTTCCTTCGAAGTGATTTAATTGTTGTGTTTCTATTTTTTCTTAACTTGTCTAAGGTGCTATCGAAACAGCATTTCTGAGAAATTTCTAAGTTTTTTTGAAACGTATTTGTTTCTAAATAATTTTGCAAATGCTGTTTACCTAAAAGGAAAATGGGTGAAAAGTGTACTCATGTGATGGCATTAGAAGTATAATAACGATAACAGCGCCACCATTCAGAATTATTGAGGAAAGTCATATGAATGCTCCACAGACGATGTGTAATGAATTAATCGGTGTGCATAAGAGAATTAATTGTGTGTGTTATGTCCTGCTAAGAAGAATGCGACAGTAAAAGAAAACGAAGCATTACGGTTTGAAAAGTCAAAAGTTGATTACTGATAGTTTTGTTCTGATAAATGTGTTTCACATGTGTCACGAGCCGTAAGTCATCAATTACCACTAATCAGTTTATGAATACAGCAATAGATTCACAGGAAATTATGCTATTTCTTCATATTGGGACTTACAGATTCGAAATTGATGCGCGTCAGTTTCAAAAACTTTTACGTGAATACTTTACATTACTTACTTTTACATTACATTATAACATAGCCTATTATATCAAACAGTGTTTTCCTTAAAAAGCAATCGTTTGAAAATCGGAGTATCATGCTTACTACTGGACATTGTTGGGTTTTTAACACATTTATTTTTGCATGACTTTAAATTCGCTAATGCAAACTAGTTAATCAAGTCTATCTGATTATGCACTATCCATTGAGCATTCTTCTTTTCTTAATTTAAAACCGAGAAATCTATTCTCGAGCTGTTGTATTTTTGTCACTCACTATCATGGCAGTCCATCTTTCGTTTAGATTTTCTTTATTATTCCTGCGTTTTTTGTTCTACGGGAAAGAGATAGCACAACTTACATTTATTAAAAAATCGCTATTTTTTTGAAACATCTGTTTTTAAGCAAACACTTATATAGATTGGATGACAAGATACATTATAATTTGAAAGAAATCCATTGAAGTTCATTGTCATTATTCTTCGTAGTTGTACTGACAAAAAAAATTGTTTTTGCATTGATTTGATTAGATGCCCATAGTGTTAAATGCATAACTTGTGTCATTTGATTTCGGGTCTCTCCATGAGTGCATCTGGTAGCAACTCACTATGTTTTAAACAATCGTTTCTTTTCCCTGTGAATTTTTTTTTGTCACTTAGCATCTTTGCAAGGTCAACTCCACAATAAGTTTTCAGTATAAGGTTAATAAACTTTATTGAATTTCTTTAACTTTAAAACCAGAGAAATATCCTTAGAAAAGAGATTTATTCAGAAAAATGTCTGAATCAGAGAAATGTCTGAAGTATGGTAAAAATTAAGAAATGTTTAGAATTTTCAAGCTCTACGGCAAAAAAGCGGTTGCTTTTATTAACAATATAAATTGCTATGAGTAATTTTCTGCATATGTGCTTTGAGCATTTTTTTGTTATTTTTCAATAGAATATTTAAAACTTGTTCAATTGACTTTATTGGATTTTTTTAAATTTGAAGCCAGAGTATCATCGAGAGTAAAGAGATTTAATCAGAAAATTATCCTCAGAGAATTACCGTAAGCAAATCAGAGAAATATCTGGATTTTGGTAAAAATTGAGAAATGTTAAAAATTTTCAAGTTTTGAGGTAAAAAGCGATTGATTTTATTAACAATGTAAATTGTTATGAGTAATTTTTCTGCATTTGTGCTTTGAACATTTTTTTGTTGCTATTTTTCAATTGAATGTTTCAAAATCAATTCAATTTATATGGAAAAAACAAAAAACAGATGAAGAAATTTATTGCTGTTGTTGTTAAGTTGAAGAAAGGAGTGGACAATGTACAATTGAATTCACGCACAAAATAATAATTTATAATTCATAAGTGACGTTATTTATATTTCACTTTATCTGTCTAATTCTGATAAGGTCTGCAAAAAGTGCTTACAGATAAAGTTATGCTAACAATGGCTTTAGTGCTTTCAAGAAGATGAGTTTGACAGCCCCTAAGGGAACCGAAACGCCCTCTCTGTGTCACAAAGTTGCTAGAAGCCATATTGATTTTTATCCTTTGTTCTCATCTAGAATGTACAAAGGAGTACCCTTTTTCAATTAATGCCTTAAGTAAATTATTCATCATTCATTCTGAGAAAGTAAATTGTTGTATCTTCCGTAATTTATTTTTTTAATACTTATTTCAGTCATAAGCGAAATGAAATATTTTTTTGTACATTTCTTGCAAACCTTTTATCTTCGGATGCATCATGTTTAACACTATCAGTGACGATTTTCATAGAACAGATTATGCTCAAGAATACTATTATATGTTCAAGAACACTATTATGTTAATTTCTGATGTCTAAAAGCGAAAGTATTTTTTAAAATGAGACTTCTAATGGTATTTTGCTTTTAAACTATTTAGATTTATTAGTCTTAAGAGTAAGAAAAGTTTTTTTTATTGTTCAGAATTTCTTCGCCTGCATTTTCTACTTAATTAAAGAACAAATAGATCATATGATTTTTTGAGAATCCAAGATCTTTTTGATTTGATCTAGTTTTTTAATAGCAATAAAAACAGCCATAGCAGCACACAAATAAATTAGACACTTTTCGGCAATTTTGTGTCAAATATATAATAATTCAGATAAGGTGATTTTAGTCATTTGTCATAAATAAGGGAGTAAGGTCATTAAATTAGTAAAAATCTAATAGTCCAAAAAGCAGCATTAATAGTATAATTATTTTTAAATTTTTGATATCCATCTTTTTTCGGAATGATCACTGATCAACATTTTTTATTAATTTGATTTAAAAAAATATTAATGCTTTTTATTGTTGAAATTTTTGTGTTTTAACCTTTAATGTGCCATGGTCAGACAAGTGGGATAAAAATAATTGTTTTTTATACTACAGATAATCATTACGAAGCATATTTAATATTTGAAGAAACTATATTGCTAGAAACTATATATATCAACTATAATGCTAGATAAAATTTGCTTGGCAGTAGTAGACCTTATAAATATTGTAGAATAGTAGGAAAAAGAATAAAGGTAATAGGATAACCTAGTTCGCCTTCTAGGGATAGTAGAATAGCCCTAGTAAAGCAGTATATTGCTAGAAAATTAGTTTGATCTAGTAGATCTTCTAAAGGTAGTAGAATAGTGCACACAAAAATAGTGGAATAATCAATCAGATCTTGTAAAGAAAATTTAAATTTTGGGGAGAATGTTGTATGTCAAACCAATTTTGACTTTTTATTTTTTATGCTGAATTAAATAGTTCTAAAAACTTTAAAAAATATTGCAAGAAATGTATCAATTTATATAAATTTCTTGGTAAATAGTTACTTTCATGCATTTACGCTTAAGGAAAAAAATAAAATATGTAGAGTCAGCCAACTGACCCTAGTTTTATAGCTTGGACTGTTAGATGTTACTCCTTGGATTTCACTTATCTTGAATTGTTTCTTCTTAACTTGTTCATGATTGAATTTCGATATGTATGCAGCTAAAACTTAATTTTCAAGTAACATGCATAAGGCAAAATAAAATAATTTAACCATAAACGTAATTCCAAATGATATTTTCTTAGAATACTTCAAAAATTTATAGTTTTATTATGAGCCGAAAACTTTTTAAATATTGTAATTTTATAAGTTCAAAATATATTTATATATGATTAAGGAAAATATGTAACGGGGCCTGTTATACATTCCTTGTACAGTTCCAAGGTATACATCATTGAGACACCAATTTCTTTTAAAAAATAGGTATTTTATCTTAAAATGAATGGTATTGTGATACTTATCTATTTTAGTTATGTGTTGGAAGAATACTGAATGCTGTACCAGATTTTTTGTTCCGTAACATGTTCTGGTAGAAATGGATCTCACGGTAAATATTACCGATGCCCTGAATGCCGGTGCGTTTTACCGTAATTTGCTCAGGAATTTTTTACAGTGTAGGGTTTTGTTTTCCAATCAAACTGATTGAAAAAATTATTTAGCACCCAAAATGAAAAATTATTTAAAAAAAGAAATTCTCTTGCACATGCTAAGAAAACAGAAATGATCCCCAATACAGCAGATAAGGCAGCTTTTTGCTACAAGTATCAACTACACATACTGAGTGCAAAATTCATCCACTGTCTGGACGAAATATTTACACATCTTCAAGGTACATTCCGCACAAAGTTTAATACTCTTTCTAGTATAAAGAATATTGGGCGACAAATAATTTAGCCTGGTGAAATCCTAATTTAATTTCATCGAGATTTTTCCCACATTTTGCTCAAATTCGGTATTTTAGTCATTGTTTTAGTATAATTGAAATAAATTCCTATTTTAGAGATAGAATTCAGGTTTGTATCGAAGGAAAAGACAAAAACTATGTGACTCACAAGTATTCTCACTCTCTGTATTGTTTTTGCTCATTTCCACAAATATCAAAAACATTTTAAGGGTGAATAAGCCATGAATCAGAAAGATTTAGTCCTCCCTCAATCTAATAACAATACAGGCTCAAATAGGGTCAAGTTTATTTTTTCTGGACATATTATCTTCTAGTGATATCAAAAACTATTCTGAAAGTCAAAGCCAAACATAAATGACCATTCCGAAGTTTTTGGAAGAACTATAAACACCATTACAAATATCTGCATGAATAATTAAGATTAAAAATTTTGAACTTTCATCACATTTAGAGTTGTTTTTCTTATTTACACAGTTTTATTTAAGAACGTTTCTATTTGCTTTTATTAATGATGTAAGCATATTTTGCTTAAATAAACAGTTGATAAAGTATTCTTGCCGTCTTGGCATTCATGATTTGATCATTTAGCAACAGGAGACATTAATATTTTCAGGTTCAAGACCGGACTTGGCAACTATTGGTGTCTGTAGAGTTAAATGGTAGATTATTGTAATTGTTTTATTTTGATACCATATCCATGTAATCTGCTTAATTTTTGTTTCAGAGTATATATTTGGATCCATGCTCAAAAGAAGCCGAAAATCATCGTTTTATTTTAACAGGTAATTACAAGGTAAGACACTAAAATGATAAAAATGTTACGATTATTTAAATATTCAAACGAGCTTTATTTTGATTGTTTTCATTTAAATAATTTTGTAAGGATTTTCTTACTTATAAACTCCAGATGGGAGCGTGGGACTTCCGTTATTTTCTTCCATCTTATCTTATTATTGGCTAGGAGCTTTATTTCGTTCCATGGTTTATAGATCATTTTCATTGTAGTTTATAGATGACTTCATCGTTGACTGATTGTCCTGAGCCAATTTGTTTCCATTGTTCCCCTCTCCTTGGGGATTCCAATCAAGCGCGCTTTTTATTTTCCAATGCAAAATCCATAGCCATTTTTCTTTTTATTTCCATGTTTTTTTGTTTCTTATTTACTTTTCTAAAATAGATATGCGGCTTTAACTTTATGGAATCTTTTCTGCCTTGAATTGTTTCGAAGAAATTCACTTGAAAAAGTTATTTAAGATTTCACATTTGTATTTTTTATTCTTAACTTAGTTTTGTCTGAGATATTTTTGTTCGTACTGAAATTGTTTTGAGTCGTGATAACTTTTCATTTACAAAGTGATTTCTAAAAAAACCGTTTTGTTCAATTAATTTACTTTACTATATAGATTAAGGTGGGGTAATGTCGGATAGCTAAATTTCGAAGACCTGTTGGAGCAAAACTGTTCGACCTAGAAACTGCCCCATTTAATCAAGTTATTCATGGTTTAGTTTTCACAATATATTATTTTCAAAAAGTTATAGATGCATTACTTTTTTATGAATGATTTTTTTTTCTAAGAAGAGTGAAATGGTCATACGCCACCTGTTAACTCATGGGGAAATTTGGAAATATTAGAATTTCAGTTGAGAATCAGCAGACAATTTTTCTTAATATGACAATTTTAGAGAACTATGCATGTAATTTTCGCGCGATGTAAACAAGGCCGTACTCAAAAGACATGGGAGAGGACAATCGACCGGAGGCTTGGAACTGCTGAGTGCCCAACCAATGTTTCTTACAGAATATATAGTGCTTTTTAATTAGTCTTTTGGAAGAAAATGGTAGAAAATTTCTTTATATTTATATAAAAACTACAATTTTGTATAAAGGATTTTCCAAAATTCATTAAAATAAGAAAATGAGATTTTTTGTGCTTTTGAAAGAGGTTTGTAATAAATTATGTTCTGGATCCATAAAACCCTTATTCAACTTTGGATAAAGTTATCTTCTTCCATAATCATTATCTTACCTTCCATTACCTTCTTCCATAATCAGCCTTCCATAATCAATGCAGCTCTTATGGGCTCAGCCTACACCCAAATCGTGGGGAGGGGCATCAAATATGGTAGTACCCGGGCTTACCCCGTCAGCAGAAACGAAATGAAACAATTCTACTCATCGGGCTGAATCCTTGTTGTTTGTTAGGATATGAATCTTTAGTAAACGTGTAATAAGCTGGACAAAAATTTTTTTTATAACTGTAAAAATCAATAAATAAGGATAGCTTGAAAACAGGAGAAGATTAGGGAGTTGACATAGTAAAACAACCTTATCTACACAGACATATTGAATTAATCAACAACAATATATCAATAGGGTAGGTCTTTCTTCTCGATTAGTGAAATTCAGAATTTGTTACAAGAAATCAAATCTAATTTCGCCAAACTCGAAGTACCCTTTTTTATTCTCACCACTCGGTATTACCTCAATCTTTTCTACTTTGAATGAAATTAATAAAAAATACTATTTAAATCGGTGCGTAATTGACTTATTAAAGTGCTATTCAAAAAGTGACAGTGAAAACTGGATAAGATTTTAGTAAAAAGACATAAAGGGTAGATCTTAAGATGAATTCAATTTGTTCTGGGAATTTAGAAGTGACAAAGAATGTCCTCTTTTCGCTTCCTCACAAATGCAAAAAATGAAGGAGTAAATTAAGTAGAACAGGATGATAAAAAATTTAAATGTGTTTGTCAGTTTTAAAGGTATTTGTAATCAGATAATGTTAAATTTATTCAGTTACTTTTATGATGATGAGGTAAGGAGATCTTGATTTTTAATTCATTTTGTTTTATTTGAATTGTCAAAATATAACTTCTTCTTCCATGTTTTTCAAATAGTTTAAAACTTTCGAACTTCACCTTAATTTTAAATTAATTTAATTAAAATAGCATAGACAGGTATTGAAACTAGCATTAAAAAGACTCGTGTACTTGTATTTACATTAATGATTGAAGATTTTTTTTTTTAACTTTATGCATGAGTTAATTACTTATTTACAGAAAATAACAACTTTTTTAGAGTCATTGTTTCTCCACAAACATTCAATTGATTGTATTTTTTATTTTCGTTTAGAAAGAAGAATTTACTCGTAAAATACATGCGTAAATATATGCGTATTTTACGAGTCGTACTTTTATATTTTGTTTGTTTAAATTAGGTTTAAATTATTTAATATTGTTCCTATAGTTGTCTCTTTATCAATTTAAAACAATGACTGACAATTTTAAGCTGAAAATAAAGGCCGGTGATTATGTACTGGTTTCTATGAATCTTAATAAAAATTCTAACTAATATTTTGATAATATTTCTTCTTTATAATTTTAANATATGCTTCTCTTGTAGTAAATTATGTTTTGGACCCATAAAACCCTTATTCAACTTTGGATAAAGTTATCTTCTTCCGTAATCATTGCAGCTTTCATGGGCTCAGCATACACCCAAATCGTGGGGAATATGGGCATCAAATATGGTAGTACCTGGGCTTACCCTGTCAGCAGAGGTCATCGAAACGAAATGAAACAATGCTACTCATCTGGCTGAATCCTTGTTGTTTGTTAGGATATGAATCTCTAGTAAACGTGTAATAAGCTGGACAAAAAAATTATTTTTGTAACTGTAAAAATCAATAAATAAGGATAGCTTAAAAACAAGAGAATATTAGATAGTTGACATAGTAAAACGAACTTATCTACACAGACACATTGAATTAATCAGCAACAATGCGGTAGGTCCTTCTTCTCGATTAGTGAAATTCAGAATTTGTTACAAGAAATCAAACCTAGTTTCGCTAAACTCGAAGTACCCTTTTTTATTCCAACCACTCGGTATTACCTCAATATCCTCTACTTTGAATGAAATTAATAAAAAATACTATTTAAATTAGTGCATAATTGACCTATTAAAGTGCTATTCAAAAAATGACAGTGAAAACTGGATAAGATTTTAGTAAAAATACATAAAAGATAGATCTTAAGAGGAATTCAATTTGTTCTGGGAAATTAGAAGTGACTAAGAAATGTCATCTTTTCGCTTCCTCACAAATGCAGAAAATGAAGGAGTAAATTAAGTGGAACTGTATGATGAAAAATTTAAATGTGTTTGTCAGTTTTAAAGGTATTTGTAAATTTGTAATCAGTTAATGTTAAATTTATTCAGTTACTTTTAAGATGAGGAGGTAAGGAGATCTTGATTTTTAATTCATTTTGTTTTATTTGAATTGTCAAAATATAACTTCTTCTTCCATGTTTTTCAAATATTTCAAAATTTTCGAACTTTACCTTCAATTTAAAATTAATTTAATTAAAATAGCATAGACAGGCATTGAAAATAGCATTAAAAAGAGTCGTGTATTTGTATTTACATTAATGATTGAAGATTTTTTTTAGCTTTATGCATGAGTTAATTACTTATTTACAGAAAATAACAACTTTTTTAGAGTCATTGTTTCTCCACAAACATTCAATTGATTGTATTTTTTATTTTCGTTTAGAAAGAAGAATTTACTCGTAAAATACATGCGTAAATATATGCGTATTTTACGAGTCGTACTTTTATATTTTGTTTGTTTAAATTAGGTTTAAATTATTTAATATTGTTCCTATAGTTGTCTCTTTATCAATTTAAAACAATGACTGACAATTTTAAGCTGAAAATAAAGGCCGGTGATTATGTACTGGTTTCTATGAATCTTAATAAAAATTCTAACTAATATTTTGATAATATTTCTTCTTTATAATTTTAAAGAAATATTTTTTTATTTTATTTCAGAGTATAAATTTAATTAGTATTTGAAATTAATAAATAATTTCAAACAATAATCCAAATAATAATTTAAATAAAATTATTTAATGCATTTTGCTCAATTTTTCTATAGATAACTGGCCGACACAAGTTTTATGTTTTGAAATGAAAACTTGAGGCCAAAAAAAGATTTTATGGTGTGAGGAATTTATATTTTTGTTCGCTTCAACAAGTTCGTTTTGTTAGAGGAAACTGTCAGCCGATAACGACTTTCAAGGCATGATTTAAGCTGATAGTGTCCAAAAAGTGGAGATATAAATCATATTGCACTGTTATTTTATGTCATTCATTCGATTCCTCTTGACTTTAGTATTTATCCAATGAAAAATATCTATATTTGATTCAATTTTTTTCTATTTTTATGATTGAAATATTTTTGAATTTAGTGCAAAAATTATAACATGGCTATGAAATACAGATTATCAAGTGGGAATAATTTCTGCAAAAGTAAACTACTAAGTGTGAAACAGTAGCATGTTTCTGTTTCTAATGGAGTTCAGAATTATGAATAGTCAATGGTAGGAGTTATATTAGCAAAGGCGAACTAATAAATATGATGAAATAGTATAATGATGTTTCCAATGGAGTTTAGTATTATTAGGAGGAAAGGAGAGGTGATTTTATCAAAGGTGAACTACTAAATGTGGTTAATTAGTATCTTTCTGTTTCCAATGGAGTTGAGAATTATAAAATGACAATGGTAAGAGTAACTCTAGCAAAAGTGAACTACTAAATGTGATAAATTAGTATCATTCTGTTTTCAATGGAGTTTAGAATTATTAAGAGAAAAAAGGAGGTATACCAGCAAAGATGAACTACTAAATGCAATAAATTCGTATGTTTTTGTTTTAATGGAGTTCAAAATTATAAATAGTAGAAGGAAGGAGTAATTTCCACAAAACTGAACAACGAAATATGATAAATAAAATAATGCCGTTTTCAATGAAGTTAAGAATTATTAGGAGGAAAACAGAGGCAATTCCAACAAAGACGGACAACTAAATGTGATAAATTAGTATGTTTCTGTTTCCAATAGAGTTCAGAATTATAAGTTGTCGATATTAGGGGTAATTCCAGCAAAATTGAACTACTAAATATGATAAATTATTATAATGTTGCTTCCAATGGAGTTCGAAATTGAATTTTGTAAGAGTCTATTAAAAAATTTAGAAAAAATTATTCATTCATGTATCAAAATATTGCAATTCCTTTAAATAAATGCAATAAAAATCATTTACTTTGTAATAAGACATTAAGCATTTACTTTGTAATAAATCTTTAAACATAAACTATCATTAAATTATTGCAAGTTAATTATATATCTAATTTCTTAATATTTTAGGGTAATACAGTTGCTGTGAAAAAAGTCTATAAACAAAAGAAGATTGAGCTGACAAGATCGATTCTGATTGAAATGAAAAAGGTGCGTGCCTTTTGTTCTGATGCACTCTAAAAATTCCGGATCAAATTAAGGTATAAAGAGCTGGTACTTTGGGTGCGTCATCCGTAAAATTCGCTTTTACTGCAAAACATTAGACCTTAATTTTTACAGTAATATTTATATAATTGAAGTGATTCGGTGATTCTTTGTCAAAAAAATCCAGAAATGTTTCTGAATATATGGGGCAGCTACGGTGCATATAGGTTTCAAAAAAGCTTCTTAACATTTCGGAAAACTCTTGTGAGGCTAGGCTACCAACAATGTCAAACGTCATCTGTCAAAAAGTAAGTCAAGATAGAATCGAGTTAACACTTCTTATATACTAGAGAATTGGAATTTTATAGTTGTAGTGGTAGCTACACTACATTACCCCTACCGGAATTTTATCTGTGCTAGAATTCGATAAACGGATACCACTAGTTGATTCGTTGCTGTTTTACGACAAGTTGGGAGAGTTGTATTAAGATCACGGGGATTTGAGTCCTAGTCGGAGAGGATCATGATTGTGTGCGTGATTGCATCTTTTGCAATTAGCAGTAGCCCATTGTGTGCGATCGAGACTTAATAGTGAAAGCGTGAGGAGAACAATGTCGCAGTCACANCTAGTTGATTCGTTGCTGTTTTACGACAAGTTGGGAGAGTTGTATTAAGATCACGGGGATTTGAGTCCTAGTCGTGAGAGGGTCATGGTTGTGAGCGTGATTGCACCTTTTGCAATTGGCAGTCGAGTATGTACAGGACCCCGTTGTGTGCGATCGAGACTTAATAGTGAAAGCGTGAGGAGAACAATGTCGCAGTCACAAATAGCAAGTCAACTGTTCACTGTGAGCCATCCATAGAACTAGGTGTGTTCAAATCGAAGTAGGCGTTTCATTCGAGATAGACGTGTTTAGATGACGTCTGCGATTCATCCATGAGGGGCTAGGCTACAAACAATGTCAACCGTCATCTATCGTAAGGCATCTCCTGATAGAATTGACTTAACATGTATCATATACGAGTACTAGTGATTTAGAATTTTATAGTTGTAGTGGTAGCTACGTTATACTATTAAACTGAATCGGCTTTAATGCGATTCAGTTTCCCATTTTTGAAAATAAATGTTTCTCGATTGATCGGAAACATGATATTAAATGAAGTTCTCTGAGATTTTTGGAAATATTTTTGTCGTGTCAAAATTATTTTCCGAAATTTTTTACAGTGTTTACTTTAATTACTGTTAAAATCACGGTATATCAGATTTTTTGTTCCGTAATATGCTTCTGTAAAAATGTATGTTACGGTAATTTTTTTACTGTGTTTTCCATATCTAAAGACAAACTAGTTTTTTTTTAATAAATCGTTAACGCGAAAACGTTAAACATAATATTAACAGGATTTTTTAAAAATCTTATTTTAACAATATTTATTTTGAGAATATAATGGATAGATATTTTTCATATAGGAACGAAATATTACTGTATTTAGTGCAGTATATTGAGAATTTTTGTTTCTTTAAAATAAAAAAGAGTATGTTATAAACCTTTATTTATACAAATTTCAAATATTTAAAAAAAAAAATGACAATCACCACTATCTTCTGCAATAAACTTCCAAAATATTAAGCATTTCTCGCAGCATTCCATAACTTTTAGAAATTCGCTAGACGCGGAATTTCATATAAACTTCTTAAGTGTCAGTAAGGGACTGCATTATCATAAAGTTAAACTGAAACTTTTGTGACATTGAGATTTCTGTCAACATTATAAAATAAGGATAAAACTGAAATCGGTTAAAGCACTTAAAAAAAGAGAACAAAATTATATTTCTTCACTATTTTTTCGATAAAACTGAAATCGATAATGCATTTAAAAAGGAAAAAATTAAATTTTTTCACTATTTTTAAAATGCAAATTATTTTAATAATTTTCTGATATTCAATAATAAATCCCTTTAAGAGTTTTAAGTTTTTCTTAACCATATAAGATATAACCCATGCCCTCTAATACTCATTCATTTCAGCGCATCATTCTTTTTTTCTCTGTGATAAGCGTACAAAATACGATTGTGCAATTCCATATAAAAAGATTTCGCATAACATTCAGGAAGAATTAATAATTAGAGTTAGAAGTGCAATTACTATAATATTTTTAAAAAATATAATTAAATAAATACAAATCAACAATTAAATTATAAAGAAATACGTAAATAAAAAAGAGAATAAAATAAAAAACATTATCAAATAATCGAAAAATAAATAAATGAAACAATAAAGTTTATGATAGTTAAGAAATAAAGTATTTAATTTTAGATTCGAGAAGCTCAACATCAAAATGTGGCCGCTTTTATTGGAGCATGTATCGATTCACCAAATGTCGCAATTCTAACAGAATACTGCCCTAAAGGAAGTTTACAAGTAAGAATCTTTATGCATATATTTATTTTAAGTTATTAAAGCATATTAAGATAACGAAACTAATGCATTAAAATACACTTAGAGTAAGAATTAAGATTTTCAATTGTTTTTGGATTTTATAATACTAACAGTCCCACAGTGTTGTACCACAAAACTGCCATCTTGTTTTTCTTTAACAATTTTACTTCAGTTTTTTTAGTATGATTATATATACAGAGGAACAATAAAATATTATTTGCATATTTTTTATAATACTAGCTTTATTCAAAAGAATGGGTATAGTATTTTTTTAAAATACACTTTTTCTTAAAGTATCTATTGAAAATATCGTCTAGTGAAGAATTTTTCACGATATTTTTGCACTGCAAGATCAGGTGCATCAGGTTTATATGAAAAATGTGCTTTATATTTTCTGTAAGCACCTGTGATTGTCAATAAATATTTACGTATTTTCATTTAAAATTCCAATTTAGGCCATTACTCGCAAAAACTTTACAAAGGGTAGGGTAAAGTCATAAAATTGAGTAAGCTGAATAAAGCTGCACTGTAAAAAATTTCCTTTCTTTTTTTACAGACTTCCTCTATTTGACTATTTAAAGTTGTTTTGCTGTGAAAAAACAGTTTTTTTCCTGTTTTTTTTTTAATCATAAAATATTAAAACCGTCAATTCGAATTTTAGTTTTTGCCGTGCAGCTGTGCTAACCGAACAATAACTTTGCCTTTTTCCAAATCAAATTCTCTACTTTCTTTTTATGCTTATTTTCTGTACTTATAAAATGGTTTTGCCTTTATTTTTCAACAATTATCAAAGGTTTTAAAAATTGTATAAATAAAACGGTGATTCGACTTCATTGTCAAATTTATACTCCACCTAATTATTATATTTCTTTAGATATAATTTTTTGGAAAGTTAAATTGTCAGGCATTTTTATACGCGTTGGCCACCATAGTTTTAATCGTTTTTACACTTAAATATTATTCAAATAAGTAAGACTCTTAAGATAATGTCAGTTTAAGATTTTTCTTCAGATTGAAACACCAGAGCTCCGAAAACAGAATGCTCGCTTGCCAGTGAGGTGGCTCAGGTTCGAATTCCAGCAACGACGGGTCATATGAATGCTCTCTCACCGAGCATACTACTGTCACTGTTATTTTATAGTTTTTTGTTAAAATGACAGTACTTATTTGCCTAAAAAAACAGGCGTCTGTTTTTAAATAACAGTATTTTTCTGTGAAATAAACGGTTTTATGCCGGCACACCAGCTGGTAGTTTTTTTTTCCGTAAATTTAACTGATTTATTTACAGTGTATTTAAAAACTTTTTTCTGGGAGAGGGGAGGAAACATGATTTTATCTGTGCCTTGACAAATTTGCTAAATTTTATTATTGGATCCTGCTTGATATTATTTATGAGCAAATTTTCTAAATTTTTAAGAAAATTTTGTACTGTGGAGTGCGAATTTCAAGCGAATTTCTTTCACATTTTAAAAAAAAATACGTGTCTAAAATATTTATAAAATAAATTCAGTAATTATTGGCGCAATGGGATTTATTAAAAACTGCTTTAATGTGCAAGAATAATGAGCACTATAAGCGAGTGATAGTTTTTATAAATATCTAGCATTTATAAATTTTTAATTTGGATCATCATCATATTAAAATGAGTAGGTATTTAGTTTATTGAGATTTTAGTTATTTAAATTTTCAGGTAATTTTAACTAAGGAAGGGAGAGGTAAAGCAGTTTTTAATTTGTATAATAAAGTTTAATTAGTGTTACTTTTTCATTTGCATGTATTAATGGAAAATGTCACAAATGTGTAAATTTGCTTTGCAGGATGTATTGAAGAATGAATCACTTGATCTAGATTGGATGTTCCGTTACTCACTAATTAATGATGTTGTAAAAGTAAGAACATTTAATTATTAAGGATTATTCTAACAGCAATTTGATAAAAAACATGTTTACTTGGGAATTTTAAATATTACACCCATTTTAGAACTTTTCCTTTCTTGTTTATTATTTCAAAATTTAATACTTTATTTTTTAATGATATTTTTAATACTATCATGTTTTTATTTAATGTTTATTATATCAATATAGTATATTAGAGTAGCATATATTTTAATATAATATCTATATTCTAATATTAATATACAATAGTCATAATTTTATAATGTATTTTTATAATATTTATTTTTTTAATATTATAATTTTAATACTATCGCTCTTTTTGTTCATTGTTTTTTCCTTTAACAATCATGTAAATAATTGTTTAATGACATATATGAGCATTAATTGAAATTTAATTGTAAACTTAAAAATTTAATAATAAATTAATGAACTTAGTGTGTTTGTTTTGTGATACCGTGTCATATATTTGAAATTTTACTTTCTTATTTTGTGATTTATTACTAAATAAATTTTATAATTTAATGTAATTATGCATTTTATTTAAATTATTTGTGTTCTGCATTTTTCTACCATAATAAAAATATTGATAAATATTTTGGTAAATCACCCGTAAAACACTTTGGGTACATCACCCGTAAAATCAATTTGTCCGTAAAATCCTTTTTGCCGTAAAATCCATTTTTACATTCAAATATTATATCGTAATTTTTACAGTAATATTTGTTCAATTACAGTGATTCAGTGATTTTTCGGTAATTAGGACTGTAAAAATTACGGCAAATCGGATATTTTGTTTCGTATCATGTTCCGGTAAAAATGGATTTTACGGAAAAAGGTACGTGACCTTAGTACGGGTAATTTTTACGATAAAATGGTCTGGAATTTTTTACTGTGTATATTCTTATCATTTGATTTCAGGGTTTGAATTATCTGCATAGCGGAGAAATGGGAACTCATGGAAGGTTAAGATCATCAAATTGTCTCGTGGATAGTCATTTTGTCGTCAAGCTCACTGATTTCGGACTCCCCTCCTTTAGACACGCCGAGTCTATAGCTCATTGTGAAGATAAAAATTTAAAAAGTAAATTAGCCATTGTTATTTTTAATAAAACTTAATTCAAAATACATTTTACAATATATTAAGAATTATTTTTCTTTTTTAATTATAAATTACACTGTGATGAAAGAAAAAAAGACCTTACAGTTATTCCTGATTTTCTCAAGTAAAGTAATCTGGTGATTATGAATATGACCCCTTTAACCGATTTCCGGCAACATTCCCCATTTTTTTACTCTTTTCGATAATTTTATGGTAATGAATTTGATTTAAAATGTAGTTTACAAAAAATAAAGAATTAGTTTCCTTTTTTATTTATGAGTTACACTCTGATGAAAGAAAAAAATAAGCCCCCCCCCATGCTATTTCTGATGATTATTATGTAAACTGACCTCCTGATTAAGAATATGACCTCTTTTTCTCTTTTCCTGTTTTCTAGGAACATTCCTCATTGTTTTAACACTTTTCGATAATTTATGGTTAAGAATTTGATTTAATCCTAAAGAATAATTTTAATGATTTCATTTTCAATGAGGAACCTGTAAACTAAAAAATTATAAAACATAAGCATTTATCAGAAGAAGGGTGACTTCGGAGGATTTAGTTATATAATAAAAATATTTGGCTAAAATCCTGGTTAAGACTGAGTTAGAGGGAGAACTCAGGAAGCTTTTCATAGTCAGAAAATTCCGACTCTTTTGAGAGGTTAAGAAAAGGTTTAGAAGATTCACTGTAGATAGGATTCTTGACAGCACTAGATTTTTTTCCCATCCTCCTCCTCTTTTACCCAATATTGTCGCTAAATATTTTGTTATTTAGGTATATTTGGGAAAAGGAAAGAGGAGTCAGAAGCTAGAATACGCAGAAATGTATTTTAATTTTATCACCATCTTTAAAGAAGTGACCCAATTTTGAGTTTACATCTACCAATATTCATCTCCTTTACCTTGTCATTTCGAACCCAATACAGAAGACAATGGAGCTCCTGGATCAAGTTGTGGGAGGAATTTGCTTTCCTGGAGGACCCTTTTTTCATGGAACAAACCCGCATTTGTGCTATGTGGATATAAAAATTACAAAAACCTTTGCAGTTACCCCGACGGCAAAAGGATTCTAACCCATGATACCACTGAGGATATACTTCGTCAGCACTGTGGTCGGTGCAAGCCAGGTGTGGAATTCGCATCGAAAAGCCATCGATGGGATTCGAACCCGAGTCTTCTCATTAAGCGGCGAGTGCATTATTCCCTGATCCCCCACAGCTGTGTAGAAATGTACTAAAAAATTTAAAAATTAAAAACTATATTTTGTAATATTTTTCTTGTTTCTAATGACACTTGGACAACCCAAGAGCTGAGTCATAACAAGAAAAGCACAGCGAGCGTGAAAGTAAGTCTGGACTCCGGAACCAAAGGAAAGATGTTAGCACCACTCATTCGTGAGGCCTATTCCTCAATTTAGACATAGATCTGAAGGGAACGAAAATTTTCTCCAGATCCCAGCATCCATGGTACTGCTCAGCAAGCGATCATAGGATTTTGAATTCCACAGATTTTACGACCATGTACTCTGCTGGTCATAGCGGAATTGAGGATTGAATCCCGGGTCCTCAGAAATTTTCCAGTTAAAATTATTCTTTTCCTCTTTTGAAATTAAATTCCCAACCACCAATTACCGAAAAGCGATAAAACTGGAGAAATTATAGATAATGAATGTCATATTCGGATTTATTACATTATTTTACATAAAAATCTACAATCGTATCAGACCTTGAAAAAATATTCCCTTTTTTGCAATGCAGTATTATCAATTTTAGTTACAATAAATACATAATATTATGACATAAAAAACATAATTATTTTTGCATGTGTTAAACTCAAAAATTTCTAAAATTTTTGTGATTCTCTATTTTCAGAATTTCTATGGAAATCACCGGAGCTTCTAAGGCTACCTGTGTGTCCACCCGAGGGAACAACCAAAGGTGATATCTACAGTCTTGGAATTATATTGCAAGAGATCAGTTTGCGTGAAGAGCCATTCTATCCTTTCCGAAGCTCGATGACCGTAGCTGGTGAGCCAGTATGGAAGCCTCAATCAGTTTTTGTTGCTTTTCTTTAAATTTTTTTTACAAATTTTTTATATCAAATTTCAATGAAATTGTTGGAGAAATATATACACCGAAAATAGTAGTGCATAATAGGATCATAATTCAATTACCAGTAAACATTAATTGCTATGTTGCTGTATTTTTCAGTCGTGCTATGTTTTATATATTTATAAATTATTATCCATATTAATCAGAGGCTTAACTATCTTTAAAAATTAGTGATTATATGCTTTTATGATACAAATAAAGTGACTATACAAAATTCAAAAAATCTATTTAATGTCGAAAATTAAGGTCACAAACATGTTACTTAAAATTGTTCTACATTTTTGCCACTAGAATTGATCAGAATTTGCATTTTACATACTTTGTAGAACGGATAGGGCAATATCAACTTTCGGCTTAAAAAAAAGTTGTTTAGTATTATTTTCTTCGATACAGCTGGAATTAGATAGTTCAAGTATTTGGGAGTTTTTTGCCTGCATTTTTGTAAATTATGTATTAAAAGAAACAATCTATCCTGTTTGTATTCATGTCGTAACTTTTACCGTTCATATATTATTGTTTTGAAGCATGCTCCAATTTTGAAGACCATGATGTCGGGCATGCGCAGTTACTTCATAACATGAGGAAGTGATCGTAAGAATAGGTAAAATGATATTGCAAAATCTTGTCGCTAAAAGTCTCGATTAAAAAATTATAGAAAATAATGTAAAATACGAGATATTGTTAATACTTATAACTTTTTTCGTAACTTTCGTCTATTTTTAGTTCAAACTTCAATTTTTTTTCACAGTTAGTTTCTTTATGACACACTGAAACGCTACATTTACTCGTTCAATATACTTCTACGAAACTATGGTTGTACAGACTTCAAGGTATAAATATGGTGCTTAATTTTAAAATTACAAAAAAATAAGCGTATTTTCACTTTTGGAGACAAAGAAGATGATCATGTATCCAAATGCATGATATACCTAGACAAGATGTAACGATAAATTCAAAATTTTGTACACTGTATTGTAATTAATAAAGAACTGTTGTAATTTTTAAACATACATAAAAAATATGACGTTATGTCCAAATGTATGATGTACCTAGATACCTAGGCGAGATGTAACGATAAATTCAAACTTTTGTACACTGTATTGCAGTTAATAAAGAACTGTTGTAATTTTTAAACAGACATGAAAAAGATAATGATGTATCCAAATGCATTATTTTCTAAGACGAGGTGTAACGATAGATTCAAATTTTTGTTCATTGTGTTACAAGTGAGAACGAACTATAATAGTTTTTCAACAGATATATAAACGTGGCGATGTATCCAAATGCATGATTTAGCAAGGCGAGGTGTAACGATAGATTCAAATTTTTGTATATTGTGTTGCAATTATGAAAGAACTATAATAATTTGTAAACATTTTCAGAAATTCTTGCTAGGATCCGAGTATGTGAAAGTCCGCCTTTTCGCCCTGTTGTACCAAAAGAGACCTGCTCAGCTGCTTTAATAATGCTTATGAAAAGATGTTGGAGCGAAGATGCAGATGACAGACCTGATATTAGCCAAGTCAAGGCTGAAATGCGAATTTTAAACAGGTACAAAGCACTATAACGATTTTATTCTTCTACTGTCAGTAAAAATACAAATTACATATACTTCTTTACAAGTTTGACCAGCTGTAATGTCAGTAGCGTATAATTTGTTAATTTCTATGCAACTTCAATCGAAAAACTGGAGGTATATGTTTAAAAATAGACCCATTTTCAATGTCTACAGATAACAAAGCAATTAATCTACCAGTTATTCAATAAGTCTGTCTATGAGTTGATTTTTAGAAGAACAGGGACCCTTTTACAGCTATTAAATCTGAATATTTGGCAAATTGGAAGAACGATTTTTAAACTTTTAGTTAAAACAATTCATAGCGATTTCTTTTGATTTCAAACTTTACCGTAAGGTAACATTAGACCATTCTTAAAACTTAAATATAAGTGATTTAAATTCTCAATTATTTACAAACGACCACACCCAGATAATAAATACAGTCATCAGTATTGGAACGTAGGAGCTTAAATGCAGTTATTAATAACAGACAGGCTAAAAGCAACTTAAAAATCAAACAAACAACTATCAATAACTTAACTGTTAATAACTTAAAAATTTTACAGACAAAATTTTTATAGCGAAAACTCATATAGACATTAAATGGACATAACATTGTTAGAATATTATTATTAGATAAAATGATTTGTGCAAATAATAAGTTTAATTGAAATTATTAATTAGCATTTAATTGAAATTTCGTTTGAAATAGATACTATAAAACTAATTGAGTTATTGCATTTAATAATAAGTAGATTAATAGTTCTTAATTATCAATAATTATAAATGTGAAAGGCCACAATTAGTAGCAACTGAAAATAAGTAATTAGCTTTGATTTTTAAAGAATAAAATTTGAGTAGACGCTTACAATAACCAATAACCATGCATAAATGAAATTAATAAGCATTGACTTCCAATAGCTGGCGAATCATAAACACCAAAAAACTAATGAAATGGATTTGAATACATTTTTCAGGGGTCAAAATGGTGAAGTGAACATCATGGACAATCTTTTGTCGAGAATGGAACAATATGCTCACAATTTAGAGTCACTCGTTGAACAGAGGACAGCAGCATTCATGGAGGAAAAGAAGAAATCCGAAGAACTACTTTACCAGGTTTTGCCGAGGTATAAGATTTTAAAGAACAGGGTGTGTCGTAATCCCACCGGGCTTATAACGAGCAAAATATTATCAATACATCAACGAACTTTTCGTTACCTGATAAACAAATGCTTTTCCACAACTGTTCCGTCTGTGAACCTTTGATGACGAATCAGTCAATATTCAGTTAATGGCCAATGTTTACCACAATATGTTGCAACTGTGGTTAATACAGTAAGATAATGCATCGTTCATGTTTCAACATCGGGGGGGGGGGAGTCACTCCCCCTCCACCGTTATCTGACAGACTTTCGTGATTTCCTAACTATAGAGCTTCATTGTCGTTGGATTGAACACGGGTCGGACGAGGACAACCAGTTTCTTAGGTGACTACCGCGCTCTCCATACTTAACTTTGTAATTTTTTCTCGAGGTTTATGTGTTTGTGCCGCCCTACGGGCACGTGATTCGACAGAACAACAACGCAAGATCGCAATCTCATTTGCTACTATTGATCGTGATATGCTGCCGCGAGTATGGTAAGAATTGTGCTGCATGACCAAAAGTTCAGGTATTTAGCATGCAAGTTTTCGTGTAAAAAACACGTAAACACGTAAAAAACTTGTAATATTTCCTTATCAAGTAAAGTTAAATTTGTTGATTTATTGGCAATATGTTTTGGTTGTTTTAAGCTTTCCAAGCACTGCGAGGGAATTGTGACACACCTAGTATGCATAATNAAAAAAAAAAAAAAAAAAAAAAAAAAAAAAAAAAAAAAAAAAAAAAAAAAAACTTCTTGTTAGCTATTTTATTAATAAATCGAATGTTGTTAGGTGCGCATTTTTGTATAATGAATTGCAAATGATAGCTTAGGTAAGTTTATCTATCAAGCTTAATTTGTCGATTGTTTAGATAAATATCGTTTCATAAATTGCCAATCTCAATAGACGGTATCCCTATAAGTCACACAAATGTAATCAATTGTTTAGAATAATGATTGTTAAATAAATTGCATATCTCAATTGACGGTAGTCTTTTAAATCAAGAAATTTTATCAATTTGCTTAGATAAACGATTGTTCAGTAAATTGAATATTTTAACAGATGATAACCATATAAATGAAACATACTTTATCAATTGTTTATAATTGTTTAAAAGAATAATTGAGTAATAAATGAACCTTTAAAGCTCAAAAACTTGGTGATAATTTACCCTTAAACTCTACAACAACGCTTATGTTTGAAACAATGTCCTTAAAAACTAATCGTTTGCAGTCACTTTCTTTAAAATAATTGACGATCATTTTTAGTTCCTTAGAACATAAAGAAAATGCAACTAACACACTGTTGAAAATTCTATGCTCAAAAGTTAGCTTCTTGACCATACACTTCGTCCAATAGACAAACTAGTAGATTTATTAGTTTCCAATGAATCATGAGACTGCCATGTAAGTTTAAGTGAATGAACTCAAATATAAAATTATAATCAGATAAAAAGCATACTCTCGATGTCTCAAAGTTGAAGGGAGATTTTCGAGATAACAAGTTCAGAACTAAATATGTTCTGAAAAGTAGAAAAGTATATTTGAAAATATTACACAAAAAGTAGAGTCATAAAACCTAAGAAAAACTACGGATAAATATGTATTAATGATAGTTGACAATAGGTCTAAATATAACAATGATAATTTTATTTTTAGAAGGTAGGGACAAAAATAATTATGCATTCAATAAATAATAATTGGCTTACAATGAACTTCCGATAAAACATTAGGTAGATATGTAATGGCACAAGGGCAAATATCTTTTATTTGAAATAACATGGTTTTCTAGATATCGAAGTTCGAGATGTGGAGAGTGTGCTGACCACTATTTTGCAAATTTCTTTTTGTGGTCGTTTCAAATGATTAACTCCTTATTAGATATTTAAATAGATTTTTTTTCACTTTTTGCAAAATGAAAATTGTTAAATATTTTTTTTTTCTGTTATCATTTTAAATTCTATTTGTAAGTATTTTAATTTGGAACAAATAATTTTAAAAATTAAAAACCTGCTTGAAAATGAAGATATGCTTTTATATTTTTAATGATATGATTATTCTATGAATTACTCTCATTCTAGATCAGTTGCAGAGCAGTTGAAACGAGGCAAATCTGTTGAGCCAGAATATTTCGAAAATGTGACAGTTTTCTTCAGCGATGTGGTCGGATTTACAGAAATGTGTTCATCAAGCACTCCCATTCAGGTAAATAAAATGAAATTTTAATCTATATCTGTAATAACTAATGTGTTAGATTAAACTATTATTATTTTTCCGTTGTAGGTTGTAGATTTTTTGAATGACTTATACACATGCTTTGATGCCATTATCAACGATTTCGAAGTATATAAAGTGAGTTGTTTTGCCTAAATGCATTACTGCACTTAAATATAATACACTGAGAAAAAAGTATGAACAAAACTACCAGAATATGGTAAAATTAACAGTGTTTCTTCCTTAATGGGTATACAAAAAAGCTCGATAATTTTTTTCTGAAAAGCTTTAGTAATGATTTTATAAAACTGACAATAAAATACAATTGTATAATGTGTGGTAACATTTGGTAAATGTTGTAAAATTTGATAATTTTTCCACTGCACCTTAGAGAATGGCATAAAAACTATTTATTTAGCTAAATTTATTTTTCATTTTTGTATTTTTTATTAAATTTATATGTGAGAACTAGTTCCATTATTTAGAAAATCTAATTTTCAGTAAAACCAGTATTTCCGGTATCAAATGAACAAAAATTCATCAAATAAATAGTTTAAAGGCTGCACAATTTTGTTTTATTAACCAGAATTACTGTTTTAAATTCCTGAAACTCTACAATACCGTAATTTTACCAGATTGCACCAACCATAGATTTCAAGGTGCGAAAATTTTCAGAAGTTAGTCGTCTTGTATTTAACAGAGTTTTGGCTGAATTGCCTGTCCAAATGAATTCCTCGGCAGTGTTCTGCTCAAAATTTAAATTGATTTAAATTATTAGATGCAAATAACTAAGAATTTTTAGATTTAAATATTTCTTAAGAAGAAACTCTTAATGTAGAGTACCATTGGCATTGTATTTTAATTTTTTTTTAAAGCTACTGGAAAATATTAAAAAATTAATTTCAGAGTAAATTTTTTGAATAATCTTCCTTTGCTATGTCTCACTCAATTTCTAAATTTTTATAAATATTAGCAGCATGAACATAACGAAGCTGTGAATACAAGTTAAAGAAATATCATAACCTAGTATTATTTAGAGAATCTAGTATTATTTAGAGAATCGAATAATTAAAATAAAAAAAAATACCATGTGTCAAAGAGATGTCATAAACTTAATTAAATGCAAAATGTTAAAATTCAAAATAAATTTAAACTGAAGATTCATAATCTAAGTTTGTTTTCAGTTTAAATGAAATTTCTTTTTACTGTATTATTCAACAAAAGACATATTTTTTTTCCTTGTATTTCGAATGCTAACAAACAGGAATTCACTTTGGCACTTTTGAATGAAGTTTTTAATATGTTGTCATTTCACTAAAGTATTAAATTCATTGAATAGGTGGAGACAATTGGAGATGCTTACATGGTTGTCTCAGGACTTCCAGATAGAAATGGTCTGAGACACGCCAAAGAAATTGCACGAATGTCATTGGCTCTCTTGAACGCTGTCACTTCTTTCACAATAAGGCATAGACCAGACGATACAGTGAAACTTAGAATCGGTATACATTCGGGTACGTTATTTCGAAAATGTTTTTTTACCGATTTCGACTGTGACATATTTTTTGATGGTTGCATTATTTTTATTTGCAGGCCCTTGTTGCGCAGGCGTGGTGGGTCAGAAAATGCCGAGGTATTGTTTGTTTGGTGATACTATCAACACTGCCTCTAGGATGGAGTCAACTGGAGAGCGTAAGAAAAAAAAAGGGGGGAGGGTTTCAAATTCGATTTTTGAATTTTTAAAAATGAAAACCTCTTGGTGTTTATATATATTTCTAGATTTTCTTGAACTTTACATCGCTTTAATCTTCTACCACCAAAATAAATTTCAATGTTGAATCTTATTGCTGAGTAAATTAATCTTTCTTAAACTTGATTAAATAATATTATGATACAACTTTTTCGGAAACTTGATACCTTTTATTACCTTATTGAGAGAGAAAATTTGCGTGGTATTACTTGTTTAAAGTACCCACACTATGGTTCAGGTATATGATTTTACTAAGGGAGTGATTTCGCATTCTCAGTAGCATCAAGCATTCTCCCGTACACAGGTTTTACGCAAACTCTGTTGAAAACCAGGTGTGTTTAGTGGAAACTGTACATAACATTCGTACGTGAGTGCGTAGGATATTAAGTGAAAGTGCAAAATCTCTCTATTTTTCTGCGTTATGTCGGTATTTTTACCATTAAGATGTAGTAAGAAATATTTTAGCTATAAAACACATTTTTGCATTGAAAATTAAGATATTAAAGAAATTTGTGAAATTGACGGGAGTAAAATTAAAGTTACAGTCTATTTATTTGGTAAGTGCTTAAATAACCTGTCCCGAGACTAAATAGAATACTTTTTTTTCTTTTATTTAGATTTATACATAAAATATAAATAATCTTGAAGCAGGTTATCGTAATAAAAACTCGCACTTTTCTAACAAAGATTTCGACGCTTTAATATAGTAGTGTATTTACAGTGCAATATAAATCAAAGCCAAAAATGATTGCTATACTAAGGCACTTTCCCTGACGTGAATAAAATCTCCAGTCAGTATATTTTATTGAACCTTTTTTGACTGTGTGGAAAACAAATCATTTCCATTTCATTTATTACTAGCTGAATACCCCTTCTCCATACGGTGGTGAAAAATATTTAATAATCAATAAATCAGTAATGAACAACACTACGCAACCACGCTCAAAACTTTAAGACATATATCAACACAATTAAAAAAACTAAAATAATTCTTTTTATTTAGTATTATTATTTGTCCTTGCTGGGAGCTTTACATTATTAGATTAAATAAAACACAGTTTTAGTTGTTCATCCAATCAAAATAAAGATTAACTATACTTAATTTGTTTTAAACAACCTAATAATTTCAAGTTTCTAAGCCTCGAAGAGTTTCAGTAGCGAAGTAAATTATAACATTAAGCAAAAAAGTGAGAAAAAATGCGTAAAAAAGTAATTAAAAGAAAAACGCAATTACAACTCCTTAGTTGCATCTTAGCTTCCTAAAAATACAACTGCTGAAAAAAAATTCTTCAATCTAAGGCCGCAGCTTACTTTTTTTCTTGGAATTTATCTGTTTACTAGACATGAATCACATAAAAGTTGCAATAAGAAAATATTTCAATTATTCAATAATGCCCAATTTTAGGTGTAGGCTGTAGGTGTAAGTGTTTTAGAGCAGGTCAAGTGTCTGAACTCTCTTCACATTTATCTTCCCTTATTGTATTTAAATTGCCTAATTTCGTATTTTCATTTGCTTCTTATTCTGCATCTACACTGTAAAAATCTGAATCCGTTGAATAAGGATATGTTTATCAGACACAAAAGCATACTTTCTCTGAAAGTACGTTTTTGTGTCTGATTTCGTAACTTAAATTATCGTCTGCGCTTATTGGTAATATTTGAGGTCACTCCCTCGAACCATTAAGATTGAGTCCAATAACGTGAAGATCCAATCTTTAGATCAAAAGTTGTTGGGGTGGTTCGTTTATTTTTATGCGCACTGTACGGCTAATGTCAATATTTTAAAAAGCAAAGAATGAAATAGGCGAAATTTAAAAAAAAGAATATTTAAGACAGGGCAAGGAAGCAATTCAAACAATTTTTCTCATTTATTTACCTTTGTTCTCTTCTCTAACTGTGTTAAAAATGTTTGTGTAGAGAATTTGAATAAATATGAAAGTAAATGAAGAGAATTCTATTGGATGATCTTCAAAGATATGTAAATTAACCATTTTCCTATTCAATTTTGTTGTATGTTTTCCATTTCAAAATTACCATTCATTTTGCTAATAAAGAACTTGATGTTAATGCTTTCCTTTTCCGACTGATTCTTTTAAGATATAAAATAAAAGAGTGTTAGTTTATAGATGTTTGAAGCCTAATCTTGAGCGCAGTCTTTAATTTTAACCAATTTATTATTTTAACCTATAATCCAGACGGCAATGCTACGATACGAAAATTACTATTCTTAAAATAAGTTTAGTTGTTAAACAAACATGCACGTAACACGGAGAAAATTTAAAATGAATTCGAAATAGGCTTAACAAAAGCGACTAAAAATTAGGTATTACTATATAATTATTTAATGCACTTCACACAGATATTTACAAATTTATTTACTTTATATCACACGTACTTTATAACATAACTAAAAATAAACATACGTATTTTAACTGCGAAGTAGATATTGTTTACCGGCTTCCAAGAGGACAGCAAACTAAACACCAACGTGTATTCGATTGTAAACAAACTGCTGGTGACATAAAAATTGCAACAAGATTGATGTTTTCGGAAGTGACAATAATTCATGTTTTGCGTGCTTGGTGTAATCTTTTTCCCCCTCAGAGTGAAGAAATCAACCCCCCCCCCCCAAGTTTTTAATGCAAAACCTCAGTTCCTAATGCATTTAACTTTTCAAATAATCACTTTATCGAAGGCATCATATAGATGGATTGAAGTCTTATAAACAGTACAAGAAGGGCAGATTGATCAGAGATATAAATTATGTCCATACTTGAAACTGAATTCGAGCCCTAGATCTTCTTGGTACTAAGCCAAGTCTCTGACAATCATACAGCCGTCCGGCTTACTTCGTCGCTTTATATTTAATCGTCTAGTCTTCATCCTAGTTTCGTCATTTCAGTTAATAATCTACCACAATACACTAGGATAAGGTTCCGAGTAGAGAAAACATTTTCGTCATGTGTTTAAGAGTTCGCAATTTGTTACAAATCGCATGATTTTGTGACGAAATTATTCCCAAAATAAATGAAATACAGATTTGAGGATTGCTGAATCAACAAGACTGAGAGTTTATTTTTGAGAGTGCTGGTGTTAACTTGAAATAAAATTTTGGGTTGTTCAACATCAAATTTGAAGAGATTTTATGGCAAAGTTTTTATAGTGTAGGGACCAGTTTTTCTGTTGGTTTTACTTGCAATAAGATTCTGAAATATAGATAATATCTTAATTTATCTATATTTTTTTTACAAAAATTATTTACGATGTTCGTATAATTTCTAAATTAAGAAACAACTTTTAGAGAGAGCACGAAACTTTTTAATTCATAAAATTTAATATTTTAGACTTGTATTACTATTTATGGAAAGTGATGCAATGTACAAAATGTAACATTTCATTATTTCATTTTTAGCACTAAAAATACATGTGAGTCCAGATACAAAGGTGGCTTTAGATTATTTTGGAAATTTCAAGTTGATTTCGAGAGAGGAAATCGAAGTTAAGGTTAGTATTAAGAAATATTTAAAAGTTTGATTTATGAACAATATATTTTAAATTTCTCATGCATATGAATTTTGCTAGAAAAAAATAAAATTCTCATATTTTCTGTATTAGTGAAATGGTAAAACAACCTTTCAAAAGAAAACTAAAATTTTTTTACATATGTGTCCGAAGAAAAAATGCTGATTTCAGTTATCTTTGTAAAAGAAAAATATACTCCCCTCAATATTCTTTTACTTTCAAGAACTAAACCTAAAGTGTAATCTCGACGAATTTAAGTATGTATGTACTTTTTAGAATACATGAAAAAAATCTTATATCATTTTTTTGTTTTCAGATTTTAAAAATTTATGTCGGAAGTTTAAAAAGGAAACATTTTGTTAAATACTTGCTGCATACCGGTACTCCGTACAATCAAAATATATAAAAACAATCAAGAAATCAGTATTGAACTGCACTACGAATTCATGAAAAAAACTGAAAAACATATACCAGCACAATATTTAATGATAAAATAATTCAAATTTTTTATTGTTTATTATTAATATATTTGCCTTTGCAGCTGGCTTTAAATTACTAGTTTAAACAAAACATGTTCTAAATAATCCCTTCCATCGAAATAAAGCTTGATTGTATTAAGTGCTATTTCGTATGATGCTATTGCTCGAGGCGAACTCGTGGTAATTAAAATTTAAGTCAATCGTGCGATTTTTTTCTGGTACCTTTTGAGGGCTCGTGAAAAACTTCTTTAAATAGTGTCTATATTAAAACTGCGCAATTTTGATGTAGCTTCAAATATATTAATTACTTTACGATTATATATGGTACCTATTGAAACTACACCAATTAGCATTATTAAGAGATTCCAAGATAAAAATTAATTAAGCAATACTAGCGTCAATAATATGGCGATTTTTTTTAGGTCTGTTAGGTCTTTATTTAGTGTCTTTAATTTATTAATTTCGTCTTTTAGTTCGCTGCTTATTTTTTTTTCAGTTATTAATATTACGAAAATTAATTCAGAATCATTGACGTCCATAATAGCACGGATATTTTTTATGGTTATCCTGAGGAATAAAAACCGCCTTTTCTCCATTAACTCCGTTTTTTATTTAAGATCAGGGATTTTTTTTTCAATTAGAAGATATTAACAAAATTCATTAAGGATCATAAGTGTCAATATTAATCAGGTCATTTTTTAAGTCTCTCTTAAATAACTTGGATCCCTTTCTATAATAATTTTTATTTTTAGTACGTTTTTATTTTAATTAAAACTTAATACCGAACGGTGGTGGCTCAGGGGATGGAGCATTCGCCATCCAATGTTTAGAATCCCAGNCACAATATTTAATGATAAAAAAATTCCAATTTTTTTATTGTTTATTAATAATATATTTTCCATTGCAGCCGACTTTAAATTTCTAGATTAAACAGACAATGTTCTAAATAATCCCTTCCATCGAAATAAAGATTGATTGTATTAAGTGCTATTTCGTATGATGCTATTGCTCGAGGTGAACTCGTGGTAATTAAAATTTAACTCAATCGTGTGATTTTTTTCTAGTACCTATTTAGGGCTCGTGAAAAACTTCTTTAAATAGTGTCTATATTAAAACTGCGCAATTTTGATGTAGCTTCAATAAGTATCAAATATATTAATTACTTTACTATTATATTTGGTACTAATTGAAACTACACCAAATAGCATAATTTAATGATTCCAAGATAAAAATTAATTAAGCAATACTAGCGTCAATAATATGGCTATTTTTTACGTTTTTTTTCTAAACGAGTTAGTGTCATTAATTTATTAATTTCGTCTTTTAGTTCGTTGCTTACTTTTCTTTCAGTTATTAATATTACGAAAATTAATTCAGAATCATTGACGTCTATAATAGCACGGATATTTTTTATGGTTACCCTGAACGAATGAAAAACGCCTTTTCTCCATTAACTTCGTTTTTTATTTAAGAGCAAGGATTTTTTTTTTCAATTAGAAGATATTAACAAAATTCATTAAGGATCATAAGTGTCAATGATAATCAGGTTATTTTTTAAGTCTCTCTTAAATAACTTGGATCCCTTCCTACAATAATTTTTATTTTTAGTACGTTTTTATTTCAATTAAAACTTAATATCGAGCGGTGGTGGCTCAGGGGATAGAGCATTCGCCATCCTATGAGGTGAACCGGTTTCGAATCCCAGGGATGGCTGGCTATAATAGTATGGCAACCTTTTACGTTTTTCTTGTACGAATTAGCACTCTTTCTTCATTAATTTTTCTTTTTAAGTTCTCAACTGATATTTTTAATTTCGAAGAACGTTAATTTAAATTTTTTTATCTTTATATAAACAATTTTTTAAAGCATAACTACAAAGAAAGTAAACATGTGGTTTCAGACGATTTTAGAAACGCTAATCTTCTGCGTAGTCTGCCCATGCAACCAGCCTATGTTGATTACTAAGTTTATCTGACATAACGAGTTAAAATAATTAAATATCTATGAATGTGCAAAAAAAAACAAACTCCTTTTTACAATGAGAGCAAATATCACTGATGCAATATTTAACATATTTTCAAAAACAGAATCCTCTGCAACTTTATTTTTATCAATGGCAGTTTTAAACCAATGAAAAATGCCCATTCTTCGATCTTCTCTCCTAGTGATCTAATTGAAATTTTCGGACAATTGACAATATATTCCTTGTTGATTATTCCTTAATTATGTTCTTGTTAATTAACTATATTCCTTGTTAAAAACAATTAATACAATAAATGCGCGTTGTTTTTGTGCTAAAAATTAATGAATAATTTTAGTACATTTTTTTCTTTTTCAGGGAAAAGGTAAAATGAAAACATATTGGTTGCTCTCAGAAATAGAAAGTATGAGAGTTTCTGCATCTCCAGCTGTTCAGAAAAGAGAAAAAGATACCGTAAGAAGAAAACGATAATATCGCATGTAAATACATAAGAATACCCGAAGTGTAAAAAAAAATACTTTGTAAAAGTAGAATGACCTCATGATTTGTAAAAATTGTTTAAATTCAGAAAATAAAAAAAAATAAAAAAAAGAGAATTTGTAAGGATATATTGTTAATATCACTTGTAAACATATATGGCAGTACTTTTACTTTCGTTACTTGTACCGCCGGTACAAGTAAAAAGTACGTACTTTTACTTGTACTTCGTTACTTTATAAATTTAGTACTTTTACTTGTACTTTCGTTACTTTTTTAGGGAAAAAGTACAAGTATTTGTAACGGAAATATCGAATGAAATAGTTACTTTTTTTTAAAACTCGGTAAACTTTCTAAAAAAAAAATTAAAAAGAAAATACATTTTAAAAAAATGCTTATGTTTTTCTAATTTATAAAATTAATGTGACATATATATGTATTCACAGCTAACTTCGTGTTTAAATACCCTGACCTCCAGTGGAGCACTTATTCAGCGTGGCTAAGCACGTTATGAGAAATTCCCGCAGCACACTCAGTGACACCACTTTCGAAATGCAATTATTTTGCAAAATGAATAAAAATATTAATTAGCAAGTTATTTTCATTCATTTTCGAGTTTTATGCATTTATTTAATACATTTTAAATAAAAAATGTTGGATTTTGTTATTACGTTTTTCAATTTTCTTTTTGAACTCACTAATAATACATTTTTGTCTTAATACATTTTTTACTAAATACATTTTTACCTAGTACATTTTTTACTAAAATTATGTTTATGCCCGACCTTGTCAAACAACGCCCAGTCAAATCTCTAAGAACTTCAGAACTATTTGTGCTATTGAAAACTATTATAATTACTATTTTAACTCTTGAAAACTCGAAGGTATTAATTTAGCCGCTGATACTAAAATTCGTTTACAAATTTTAATTATTCCGTTAGGCAGAAATGTTCGGAAAATGATTTTCTCGCATGACTTCAGCATTAGCCATTGTTACAAATAAAACTGTAGACTGTTCTGTTTCAACTTATACTGCACATTCAATTATTTTTTACTAGCTCAAAGATCACAAAGCTATCTGAAACCCCGTGTTTGCTTTGTTTATGTTTGTGCTTTTAAAACGCGTTTCTATAGAGTAAAACAATTTTAAATCAATGGTAATTTAAATAAATAAAAATAATAAACTAAAAATTAAAATCAATAGATAAAATTTCTTTTTCGTGCAAATCCATAAAAAGTTTGATATTAAAATTATATTTGATTTTAAAATTATATTATACGATTATATTATAAAATTATATTATAATATTCTTCCGAATTTAAAAATAAATTAATGTCCATAACTTTCAAAATTAAAAATAATTAAATAAATAACAACAATTTTGCAAAAACATTAAAGAACATAAGAATATTATTCAATAAAATTTTAGGTTACTTTGAATTTTCGATTTCCTAGAAATGTACTTTTAAATCGTTACTTTTTTTGTTTAGTACTTGTACTTTTACTTGTACTTTTTACTCGTTACTTTTTAAAATAAGAACTTTTTACTTTTTACTCGTTACTTTTTTTAAAAATACTTGTACTTTTACTCGTTACTTTTTAAAAGTAACGTTGCCATATATGCTTGTAAATAAAAGAATAGACAGAAAATAATGAAAAAGTTTTTTTAAACTGATAATACCTTTTGTAAAATTTACTAAAATCCAGAAAAGACCAAAAAAAGTACTAAAAAAAAAAACAATGCAAAATTTGCAAAAACAGCTGAAATTCATAAAATTTTCTTACTCTTTTTTCTTAAGTATGCAATTTAAGAAGAAAACTATGACTAAATGAGGGAATTGATGAAGATTTAAAAATAATTGAAATTCAAGCGATGAAAATGATACAATTTAAGAAGAAAACGATTATATTATCTGTCAGAATTAATTGAAAAATTTATGTTGTTGTTTTATTTTACTTAATTATTTTGTATCGAGCAGTCACCGTTTTGTAAACACATTCACAAATTTACATTGTTGGAGTTATCAATGAGTAATTTTACTGGTGTTCATTCTGTATCTCGAAGAAGTTCTGTAATTATTTTCTTTTTGCATTTCTTCCTTCATTTTCCCACTTCAAATACTTTTTGGGAAATAATATATGAAAATGTATGTAGTAAATTCCCCTTTTTATTCTATACAATAAAATTTAAAAAAAATATATATATTTATATTAAAAAATATATATAATTTAAGTGACTGCTAAACAAAGAACTAAGTATTTATGTTGATCGACTGATTGATTAAAAATTGAAATACAATAAATTTTATGAAAAATTCTCTAAATAAAAACAAACTTGGCATCTGATGACAAATTGATCAGAAAAAAGTTTTTATTTATTTTTTTAAATATTGGATGAAGTATGAAGAAGGGCAATTTTAAAGTTAGCAGCATGCAACATGTGGTTTCTGCTTAACTTTTAAAATATTTTAATACTTTTATTCGCTTTCCTGAACTTGATTTTTAGTTCTATCTTTGTAGAGTAAATTTCCTTCAATGTTTGTATAAAAATCAAAAATACGCATATAGTGTTTTAATCTTTTTAAATTTTTTTACGATAAAATACTATTTTGAATAAAATTTTCAACCATCGTGGAATAATGACATCTTTCGGTCCCATTTACTTAAAAAAAAATTTACCGTAAGCATAATAAATATAGAGTTTAGTCCATCTTTAGTTAGTACCCCATATACTAATAATGAAAATTGTGCAGAATGTGAAAATATCAATGTCATCTTGGTAACTATAAAATCGGTCTCAAAAGAGACACAAAAAATTTTGCCAATTCGAATGTTTTGTAAAATTTTTTTAAAATAGTTAAACTGTTATAATTGTTTTGCCGCACGAGAGAATTTATCGATTTCTATTTTCTTTAACAGGCTTTAAAAAACCCCTTTAATAGTTTTGTGTGTTCAAATAAAAGGAATTAAGAAATTGTAGTTTTGATAAAACAGTTTAGTTAAAAATTTATGTAAAAATATATAAATTTTTGAAATGTATTGAAACAGTTTTATAATGTTTATAATAATGTACAATTTATTCTTGAATTTTATTCAATCTCTTTAAAAAACATACAGACTCTTTTTGTGTGTGTTAGTATCTGATATTTAAGTCAGAAATAATTAATGGAATTTAGATACACGATTTTTTTTCATTATTGCTAGTTGAAAATTTATTTACATTTAATTTCTTCCATGCTTAAACGAACAACAGAATTCATATTTTAATAGAAAAGAAGAGGAGATGTGTTTTAAAATAAATTATTCTATTCATTTTAAAAAGTAACAAGGAAAAAGCCAAGTACTCAAAGTAACAGTTCAAAAATAAAATCATTCTTGCAAAAAAAAAAAAAAAAAAAAAAAAAAAAAAAAAAAANTAACGGGATATAAAAAAAAAAAAAATTCATAAAATCAAAAGAACAAGAACAATATGAACTGATTTTAGGCGGAGTCTTGTACAAATAGAAAATTAACATTTTTACTGTTTAAACACAGAAAACTCAAAATGCTATATTAAATATGATTTTATGAAATAAATAAATAAATTAGCTTGAAAATTAGTACATTTTTGAAAAATAAGTACATTATGCAAAATTTTTTATAACTCAAGCTTATTTCGCGTTGGCGATAGGCTGTCATACTCACAGTATAATTCCAAAACAATGACTTTAACACATGCATTTGATGAAAATTCTGCAAAATCAACTTTTTAAGCGGCATTTCTCAATCTGTATAAATTATAAATTAATACTGTACTCCTTTTCAGTTCTATTATAATTCTGGAAAAGTTTAAACAATTTTTTTTAAAACTCAAATTGGAATCAATAAATAATTTCTTTGATAAATATTTGAAGAGAAAGGTAATCATGTTTCAATTGGAAGGGTATTATCCATTTCAATACTTATCTACTAGATGGCAGCATCAACTATTAAATATTCACTCAATAAGAAACAGAAGTATTAAACATAAGAAATTATGCAGGAGAAATTTACTTTCCCTACTTCTGCCATCTGTTGATATTTTAGCAAACTATTTGATTCATTTGTCTTTCCTATTAAATTAATTTGTAAAAATAATTTCAAAACAAAATTATAACGGAAGGAAGGGGAAAAAAATTATATCCAGAATTGATTTTAGTTTTTTCTACCGTATCACGATTCGCTTATTTATGTTTCGACCCTTTAGTGCTTTTATGAATAAAGGACTAAAAATTAAACTTCTTGAAAATGTGAATGCATTTTGTTAATATAAAGTATATATTTCTAATAAATCACTTAATTCTACTTTCTTTAATATATACATTTCAAATTACTCAGTCATTCAAGACGGAGAAGATTTTGTTTTGATGTTAATTAATCTACTTCATATATTTTCCATTAATCGCATAAAATTTTATTTTTTATATCATAACATTTTTAAGAAAAGTTGTAATTTGTCAACTGCTGAAATTTAACTTTTAAAATATCATTGTTAAAATATATTCACTCAATGAGTTTAAACCTTTGCCTAAGGAGCAAAAATAATTAAAAGAATGAATGACAAAATTTTGGAGCACTTTTTACTAATAATTTTAATCATAAGTGTTTCGCAACCGCAACCTAGAATAGTGCCATTACTGTACCTGTGAACAATTTACGTGATACTCAGGGACTATGGGACCGGGGGAGGGGCAGAGGGGGCTTAGCCACCCCACATTTCATAGTTATGAGACGCAGCGCCTTCTAGGATTACGATTTTTTCCCAATATTTGAGTCAGGAAATTTACGATTAAAAAAAATTTATAATTTTATCGTGTCTAAATTTTTTTTTAAAAAATGCCTCCATTTCAAGCGAGCTTTAACATTTCCTGGATTAAAACTGCTACCAAATCATCCCTTACTCTCCACTCCCCCCCTTCAAGGAAATATAAGTCCCTATAACTGACAGATGTAAAGATTCTTGTTTTAAATGTCAGGGAGAACAGAATATTAAAAAAATATATACATAAAATATAATAATATATAAAAAAAGATTAAGAAAAATATAATAATAATATACATATATATAAAAGAATAAAACTTTATTTTAAGCCAG